ACCAAAAATGACCTTTAAAGCCTTATATGATCTTGAGGAACGGAAAGAAGATTCTTGGGTGAAGCTGCATGGGTAATGCTCTCAAGACTAGAGTCTGGATAGTGAACACACAGAAAGGAGTTGACTGCTCTTTCTTCCTGATTAATACTTCCTTCCACCTGCTTTAGGAACAGCCTGCAATGCTCTTATGAGTCATCTATGCAAATATCCTATTATGTCATGAAATTAAATGTTTCATCTGTATGTAGTGTAGTTATAGCAGGGTTGCCAGGTGAATGGCGTGCCGTATGCCATCTCCTGTCAGCTGACTGAGCCTCTCTCTTGAGCTTGTAAATGTATTCTTCCGGGGCAAGCGTGTGTCTGTTGGTCATTTCTGAAGCTTGGCAGCATTAAGATACGTATAGCTGCAACACTGAATCTTCCACTGACGTGTGAAATGTTATGCCTTTAATACAGGTGTGAGGCAGGCTGCCAAGTATGAGAGAGCAGTGCTATAGAGTATCTCTTACTGATACAAATGAGAGCAAGAAGAATGAGCTTTTAATGATGCTTGTCATTCTGCTAAAGTGGGTCCATATATTCATCTGAGCTACTGCCTTAAAAACCCAACCTGAACCGAAGATCATTCAACAAGAAAACCACCAACAAAACAACCCCCGTCTGCTAAAGTGGGTCCATATGTTCATCTGAGCTACTGCCTTAAAAACACAACCTGAACCGAAGATCAATCAACAAGAAAACCACCAACAAAACAACCCCCCAGCAAAACAAAGCATCAAACCCCCTCCAGTTGTCCATCCTTCTCATTTTTTGAAGGTTTTTTGTTGTGAGATGTTGTAAGTTGCCAGGGAATGTCAAGAGCCACAAAGGAGAACAGGTATAGGATTTTAGAAAATTATGTCATCAGATCCTTCTGTCTGCACGTATACAAGACATGCAAACCCACAGCAAAATTATTCCTGCCTCGCCTACTCTCCCCAGTTGTTACAGGTTAAGCAACAGTTCTTTTCCTAGGACTGGTAAGAGAGGCAAGTTTGATGGCTGTAATTATAGCTGATAGATTTAGTGAATGCTGATATTGGCCACTGAACAGGGTTTAGTGACCTCGATACAGATTGTAAGTGAGAGTTGGAGCAAAAAAAGTGCCATTAGCTTATTCCTATAGTGAGGCTGGATATTCATCCTTTCTTCCATCAAAGTTCAGAGGAAATACTCATAAGCTGCCTCTTCCCTTACTATTACTTACTCTTCATTAGGTAGTATTGTGCATTGAGCAAGCAAACACTAGCAGAGAAAAGTTGTCTTTTGGGCAGCAGATTTGCTGGATGAATCACCGGGGATATGCTGGAAATACTGAGAACTTTTCTACCTATGCAGTTTTGTAATTGCATAAGTAATTCTTCAAGTGTATATCATGAAGAAGAGAGCCAACTCTTTGGCTATTGGAAGTAATGTGAAAAGTACTGTTGTTAAAAGTACCATGGGAAGTCCTTCAAGCTGCTCTGTTTGTAAAAAGATGAAATGCGTTGTTTCCATAGTAATATCAGTTATTTTGCAGATATGTCTCTAGCTAGTAATTTCCTGCAATTTTGGGAGCCATGTGGGAATCGCAGTCAGATAACTTTGGTATGGTGACTTCTTTTTTTATGCATGCACTGTTTTCCCATATTCTCTGTCAACCCTTATTCAGGTAGCTGCCTGATACAACAAATTGAGCAGCCTTTTTTTTTTAAGTGCAGTTAAATGGTTTAGAACTATAGGTCATATAACAAGATGATTATTTTTCAGCATGTCCTAAAGTCCTGTCTTTTATATGTCAGTTTTTGAATCATAATGTGTTATTGGTAGGTTTTTTTTCAGCATACTTCCTTATTTAAGTAACTTATCTCTTTTGACTATATGGTGCCTGGGCAAGCAGTATTTCATGTTTTTGTTTTGATTTTTTTTGTTTTTTTTTTTTTTTGTGAATTAAATTATTGAGATAATCATTAAGTCCTCAGAAGAAAATAAGTCCTGGAAATACACATCAGTTTAGCAGTTGAAGTCTATTTTGTGCAGGATATAGTTACAGAGGTACTGCTTCACACTTTCATTGTTATTAAATAAAAGAACCTCCTCCAATGGTTTATTTGTGTTAATGAAATGCAAGCTAGAAATTACATTAACTGTTCAGTAGGAAAAAATAACTTCTCTATTTTTAAACTGATAATACAAAAATGATGGCATGTTGGCTTTATTTTTGTCCTTCATCATGTTTCAAGGATGATGAGGAGGTTAATGGGGGGAAAACCATCATGTGAATTAAAGTAGTCCAGATGCATTCAAGAGCAGTACCTGACCAGGATAAAAAAAGTATTGCAGTTCAAAAGTAGAATCATTTTGTTAAATTAACCAGAAGAAATACTGTTTAAAGCGCATAATATTTTTAAGTCTTTATTAGTGTGTTTGCAAGTGCTTTGTGCATAAAAAGATTGTGTAATTGCAGCCCATCTCAATGAAACAAATTCCTGTTTGGCAGCTGCATCCTCAAATAAGTTATAATTTGGTCTGAATTATTCTGTACTTCCGTTTTCTGAAAACAAAAGGGTCTGGTGCAAAATAAAAGTGTAACTAAATGTTCTTGAGCTATTGTCTACCTTGATTTACACAGGAAGGTCTGTTTTATAAATTTGACTAAACTAGTTTCCTTCTTAATTCTTAAAGAAGCTTTATAAAGCATTGTTTTCTAGAGTTCAATGTCTATATTTTAGAAAGACTGCTTAAAACATAACGGCATTGAACTTGATTTTCCTAGAGGAGAAGACAGAAGCATAGTAAATCATGCCTTGATTAACAGATAATTTTATTAGTTCTTTCAGTCGACTCATTAGAAATATGCTTGCATTGTGGATGGGATGGGCAAACTCTTTGTCAGAATCAGTGTTGTGATTGCAGTAAGCTGAAATAACAGTGTCTTACACAGGTATGAGAGCAGAGAAAAGGGGAAGAGAAAGGGATATTAACATCTTGTGCTAGCAATAAAAGAGAATATTTGTGCTTCTCTACAACTTGATCTGCTTTCTGAAGATTAAGGTGACTTTCTCTTCTGTTAGAGAATAGGTAAAAATTCATGTTGAGTTAAATTTAGGATATCAGTTATATTGAAATGAGATAATTAACTGTCTAAAGAAGTGGAGCAGAGTTGAGAACTGGATGAAGGTGGTGACTTAGTTTCCACAGCTGTCTGGTTGCTCTAGTGGCTAGGGAATCTAAAATAGGAATGTGCTTCTCTGGAGAGCTGAATTTTCTGTCAGATGTATTTTTGCTTGGTAAATACAGCCACTGTTAGAAAGAAACAAAGGAAAAACCAAAATACTCCTCTCAAAACCTAGAGAAAACTGCTCATCACAGTTTATTTCAGGAGGAATTTAGCATACCATCATATGCTGAAACTACTGCGTTGGAGAAGTAGGTTAGTCAAACCTTTAAAATTAAAAAAAATGTTAGCTAGGTTGCATATGAAATTGCTTTGCGCTACACTAAAGAATTGTCCAGGAATGATCCCAATAAAAATTGCTGCCTCTTATTTTGCCAGTGTGTGTATGCTGACCGGTGTCTCTAAGTAGTGGTATAGTAGGAGAGTAGATCGCAAAGTTCAAGCGTGACTTCACTGAGAGGATTGTCAGGTGCTGGAACAGGCTGCCCAGGGAGGTAGCTGAGAGGTCCCTGGAGGTGTTTAAGGGATGGGTGGATGTTGTGCTGAGGGACATGGTTTAGTGGTGTTGATAGGGCCAGGACAAAGGTTGGACTCAATGATCTTGAAGGTCTCTTGCAACTAAAACTGTTCTGTGATTCTATGTTGCAGTTAAGGACGGTAATGGAAGATACGAACCACCTACTACTGGGTAGCCTGGAATCATGAGGCCAAAAGACACTTCTGAAAACCAGACAAGGGAGACATCCCTCCCAGTGTTTTGAGGGGCTTCCTATGGAAGCCAAAGGCAGCAAGTGATAGCTGGCTGGTCTTCATGGCTGGAGAGATGAGGTTCTCTCAAGGGACTTCCATGAAAAGATTTTGTTACGTTGTCTTCTCAGTGTGTTCTGGGAGGATGATCAGTGATGGACATCTCCAGTGGTGGAGCCTTCTGAGGAGGGAGGAATGAGCTGGGAATGCTAATAATGTGCAAGACAGAAGTGAGCTAACTGCCTTAAGTGAGAAAAGAAACTGAGGGAGACTGGTAGTTTACTGGAAGAGTTAAGTGCCTAGAAGTTGAAGTGTGTAAAGAGGGTTTATATATCTTTATTTTTGAGTTAGTATCCTTGTAGAGTATATAAGACTTTTTTACTGTGAGGACAATTTGACGTTAAGGAAGACTTTTAATATGGATTTAGCACTAAGATTAAAAAGAATATCCCCCCCACCCTACCCCCAGACAAAAGCAACATATCTGTTTGGGGCGTTTGTCTTAAAGAATGGACTTGGTTAGTGGCTGGTTGTTGCTATTACCTGAGTAAGTGATATTAATGTCTAAAAAAAATGAAGTAACACGTAGGGTTTTATGCATCTGAAGAGGTCTACTTGTCATTAAGTGGCTAAATCTTATAGTAAAAATATTTAAAAGTATTGAAGCCTTGATTTTATAAGTGCTATAAAAGACTTGGACTGTTTTACATGATCGTTTTAGAAGTGCCTGCTCTTTTGTGTTTGACTCATAACCTTAAGGCGTTGAAATGGATCCACCTTTTTTTTTTTTTTTTTCCTCAGAGGATTAAAACATTCTTA